CGCTCCTAGTGTCGCAGACCCAGCTGCTGGAGGTTCTGCTGCTGGCGGTGCTTCTGGCGCTGCTGGAGGTACTGCTGGTGCTGGAGCTGCTGGTGCTGCTGACGCTGCTGGAGGTGCTGCTGGTGCTGGTGGTACTGCTGGTGCTGCTGGAGCTGCTGGAGGTGCTGCTGGTGCTTGGGCTGTTGGAGCTGCTGGAGGTGCTGCTTCTTCTGGAGGTGCTGCTGGTGCTGCGGACCCTGGAGTTGGAGCTGCTGCTGGTGCTGAGGGCCCGGGCGTTGGAGCTGCTGCTGGTGCTGCGGACCCGGGCGTTGGAGTTGCTGCTGGTGCTGCGGACCCGGGCGTTGGAGTTGCTGCTGGTGCTGAGGACCCTGGAGGTGGAGCTGCTGCTGGTGCTGAGGACCCTGGCGCTGGTGTCTCTGCTGGTTCTGGAGACGCTGCGCGGCCGCGGCCGTACTTCGTTCCGCTCCTTCAGCAGGTTCTTGGTCAGCCTCCTCCTCCTTGTCCTCCTCCCTCCTTAGAGTGTCCTCCGTCTGTCCAGTCGCAGTCACAGTTACCGTCTGCCTCCCCTCTCCCTGGTCCTTCTCCTTACACTGGTCCGACTGGAGGTCTTACGGAGCGTCGTGAGCCTGAGTCTCGTCCTGCGTCGCCTGAGTCTCGTCGAGCGTCGCCTGTTCGTACTGCTCACACTGGTCGTCGTGTCCCGCGTCAGCGTCCTCCTGCTGTCCCAGGCACTCACCAGTTGGCGCTTCGTCCTTCCACTGCTCCCCAGCGTGTCCCTCTCCCGTCTCCTCCTGCGTCCTCTCTTCCTGCTCTTGCTGACCCTGAGTCTGACTCCCTTCGTGCTGCCAGTCCTACTGTCACGCGTCTCCTGGCTACTGTTGTCACTGACCCTTCCTTTGAGTCCACTGCTGCGTCTGCCTTAGTTGCCGAGCTTGTCGACTTTGCTGCCACTTGTCGTCTAGACTACGCCGCTAGCCTAGTTGCTGAGTCTGAGTCTGTCTGTCCTCCGTCCGTCGGGGGTGAGTGTGCTCTTGGCACGGACGTCCTTGAGGACAGGCAAGAGGAGTTTGAGTGCTTTGCCGCTGCTTTACCTCATCTCGTGTCCATGCTAGTTGCCCCTGAGGGAGACCCGGATGCACCAGACATCCCGACTCCGCGCTCTTACACAGAGGCGATAGAGGGTCCCTACTCCTCTCAGTGGCAGACAGCCATGGACGCAGAGATGGCTTCCTGGAAGTCCACAGGCACCTACGTCGACGAGGTTCCCCCACCTGGGGCGAACATCGTCAGTGGCATGTGGATTTTCAGGGTGAAGCGGCCGCCGGGTTCTCCGCCTGTCTTCAAGGCGCGTTACGTTGCACGAGGCTTCAGTCAGCGAGAGGGAGTTGACTTCTTCCAGACCTTCTCCCCGACCGCGAAGATGACCACTCTTCGGGTCCTGCTGCACGTCGTCGCTCAGCGTGACTACGAGCTCCACTCTCTTGACTTCAGCACTGCTTTCCTACAGGGCAGCCTGCACGAGGAGATCTGGCTGCGCCGCCCACCTGGCTTCACTGGGTCGTTCCCTCCTGGTACCCAGTGGAGCCTCCGGCGGCCAGTCTACGGTCTCCGACAGGCGCCACGTGAGTGGCACGACACACTGAGGACTACACTTGCGGCTCTTGGGTTCGCTCCTTCTACTGCTGACCCGTCGCTGTTTCTACGCACCGACACCTCGCTGCCGCCGTTCTACATCCTCGTGTACGTCGACGACTTGGTCTTTGCCACTGCAGACACTGCGGCACTCACCCACGTGAAGTCGGAGCTGCAGAAGAGACACACGTGCACAGACCTGGGTGAACTGACAAGCTATCTTGGCTTGCGGATCACCCGGGACAGAGCACGGCGCACCATCACCTTGACTCAGTCACACATGGTGCAGCAGGTCCTTCAGCGCTTCCGCTTCACGTACTCCTCGCCTCAGCCCACTCCTCTGCCTACCGGTCACTTGCTCTCAGCTCTGCCTTCGGATGAGTCCGTAGAGCCGAGTGGCCCGTATCCAGAGCTTGTGGGCTGCCTCATGTACCTGATGACCTGCACTCGACCTGACCTTGCATACCCTCTTAGCATCCTTGCACGCTATGTCGCTCCTGGCCGTCACCGAAAGGAGCACATGGATGCCGCTAAGAGGGTGTTGCGCTACTTGTGCAGTACGTCGGGCATGGGGCTAGTGCTTGGAGGACGAGACCGAGTTGTACTCACTGGGCACTCAGACGCGTCTTGGGCTGACGACCAGGCTACTCAGCGGTCGTCTCAGGGTTACACCTTCAGCCTTGGCTCTGGTTCAGTTTCTTGGCGTTCTACACGCTCGTCTTCTGTTCTCAGCTCCAGTTGTGAGGCTGAGATCTACGCCACAGCCATGGCTGCACAGGAGTTACGCTGGCTCACCTACCTGCTGACCGACTTGGGAGAGCGGCCTCGTTCTCCTCCAGTGCTGTACATCGACAACAAGGCTGCCATTGCCTTGTGTGAGGAGCACAGACTGGAGCACAGAATGAAGCATATCGCTCTGCGCTACTTCCTTGCTCGAGAGCTGCAGCAGCGCGGTCAGCTTCGTCTGCGTTACGTGGCCACTCGGGCCAACACTGCTGATGTGTTCACCAAGGCGCTTCAGCCTTGTGACCATCAGCGCTTCTGTACTGTTCTAGGCCTCGTGCCTACTGGGCCTCACTTGCTTACTTCTTGACTCTGCTTGTACTGTGATCTCTATATATATACCTGCTTGTTTACTCTTGCTAGGTTGTGATCACTGTATCTCTTGTTATACTATCAACCTGCATGTGAACTGGTCTTGTGACCACTTGCTTGTGCTCAGAATTTGGGTGGTTTCCTTGAGATCCACCCTGAGCTTGCTTTGCTTTGCTTTGACTGGTCTTGTGACCATCTGGTTGTCTCCCACTTAGCCTATGGGGGTGTGTCAAACATTATATGTTTATATTGTGTAGGCTATAGTGGGTTTAGCCTTAGGGGGTACAGCTTTGTTAGGGTTTCCTACTTGTATCCCCCTCCTACCTAGTTTCATCCATTCTCGTTCTATTCTAGATTCTAACATACTATGCTAGGTCTTGTGCCTACCGGGCCTCACTTGCTTACCTCTTGACTTTGCTTGTACTGTGATCTATATATACCTGCTCCTGCATGCTTACCTTTGCTAGGTTGTGATCACTGTCTTGCTTGTTCATTTTGATTCATAATCCTGCATGTGAACTGGCCTTGTGGCCTTTGAACTTGTGCTCGGAATGTGTGGTGACGTTGTGATCCACCCTGAGCTTACTTTGCTTTGCTTGACTGGTCTTGTGACCCCTTGTTCTCCCCCACTTTGCCTATGGGGGTGTGTCAAACATACATGATATAGCCTGTGTAGGCTGTAGTGGGGTAGCCGATAGGGGGTACAACTTTTCTAGGGTTTCATACTTGTACCTTTCTCATTCCTAGTCAATCCATTTCCTCGTTCTTATTCTCACACGCTGATCCATCAGGATTCAGCATACCCTCAAACCAATCTGAGGGCCTGAGCGCCACCTTCTGCAATTTGTTTTTCTAGTTCTACTGGAAACGCTGTAACGAAACACAATTTTGCATCCCCACATTCATAATTTCAAAACCCTTCCCCCTCGCGCGACTCAATACCTTCGCGTCCAGTCAGAATGAGCTGTCATGGGCCAGGGCCTCAGATTGGTTTTGAGCTAGGCTGAACCAATCAGAGTTGGTACAAAAAATTATGCTAAAAATCAGAAAACTCTGCCATTATATGCCAGTTTACACTACAAATCACAAATTTTCCTGTTTTTTCACCGAAAAATGCTGAATAATCAGCCACAGTTCTAAAAAAGGTCTGAAATCTCAGCCTTTTTTACCCAAATCAGCCTTTTTTCGCTGAATTCTGAGGCCCTGTCATGGGCTCAATCTGACTCATTCTGACTCAACCCTCCAATTTACGCGAAATTCACATTCATTGCCCTCTACAATATCGATTCGATTCAAATCGCAAGAACGAGATGAACACTTTAGTGTAAAAAAACTAGATTTCATATGTCATAATATAAGCCCCGGCGCGGCGCTTATAAAGATCCTCAAATATAATAAGCCCAGCCCACCCTAAAAAACAGTGTTTTTTATACCCCCAGGGGCGCTTCTATCCGGGGGCTGACGGTATGCTGCAGGTAGTCACTACCAATATGAAATGAGCACAATCTCCATAAAAAGCACGTTGATGCTACCAAATTCACAAGGTCAAACTCACATCGTACAACCGTGGCGCATAATAACACAATGAGCGACACCCTGGCCCATGGGTCCCATGTTGGAGCGACACTTTTGCGGATGCCCTTACAATGCTCAAACATGAACTTGAAATGGGCATGCTTATAAGGGTCGCTTCTTCACCTTCCCGCAAAGTGCATGACCATTTTTCGGATGAGACACAACCATATGGGTGCCTGATGATTGATGAGTATAGGAAAGAATGAATGCCCGAATATCCGCCTGTGATAATGGACCCACAATTATTGAGGAAGCGAAGCTGTAACGCTTCGGCCAATCACCCCTCGTTCTCGCGATGTTCTTCCAACCAACACCTACATATTCTTCCTTAAACTTGCCGGCAAGGCAATTCGAAAGGGGGGTTATGCAGGGCGCAGCCCCTCCAGACCGGAGGTTGTTCAGTCGTGTCATAAGCACGAGGTAGCTATCACTTGCAGAGGCCCTGTCACTGAGGCAAGGGAGAATAGGAGGGGAAGGAGCACCACGTGTTGATTCATGTGCCCCCCCACATGATATTTGTGCAAGAACAGGAAAAAAAGGCACGTTCACACTCTTAATAAATTACCATAGGCAGCAACCTGATTTCTGCGTTAATCTGAATCGTCCAAGATATTATCAATAACGTTGATGGCAAGAACTGCCAGCATTTCCATGGCTGCACCAAGCCAACTACTACGGTTAAGAAATGGCGAACTTACTTGACTCCCTTTAAAACATTTCTTCCAGTTGCTCCTCGGTCGCCAACCACTTTTCCGTTGCTACGAGGGGGAGTGAGCCTGGCCACATAGCGCACTGGAAAGGGAAGGCCGGGAATGCACAAAGGTAACTGAAAGAACACGCAAGTAGTTTCTGCTTCTCTTCTTTGGGTGATTGGTCCAAGAGGATTAGTATATGCATTGACTCGTACGTGAGCCAGACTATCCGTTCTAAAAAGGCAGCACGATCCTATGCTCCAGACAGACGGAGCACAACCCGTTTTTTGAAGCTGACAGATCTTTCATGAAATCATTGATAAGTTTCCAAGAATTCCGGGAAAAAAAAAAAAAAAAAGAATCCAAGCTGAAGGAAGCACTTACTAAACACCTTTCCCTTCACCGACAGAGTGGCGTGAGCGGAGGAAGTGACAGGGAGCCGTCCGGCGGTGGGGAGGAAGGCTGCGAGGGACGCTCGAGGTGACGCTGGGGGAGTCGTTGGGAGCGATGATGACGTTGCAGACTCTGCACCCACCGTGACGACCGTTACAACTGCACAAGGCACACAAACACCACCCAAAACGAGCTTTAATCAGAAGGCGGCAGAGCCGTCGGATGCACTTGCGAAAGGGCGTCAATGGGCGGCGCTCACGTATTAGCACCCAGCAAAGCACAGTCCGCTCCATGATAAGAGATGAGAGAGAGACGAGCCGTCAACGGTTGATATAGTACCGTACTAGTGATCATAAGATAAGCAGGTTTCAGAGCGAGCAAAGTTGCTGCAGGACTAGATAGCGCGATGTTCAAGAGCAACCATCTTCATATCAGTTCGGTGCTAATCTTGGACGGACCATCGTCGTGCCGAGTCGCGACGTGAAATCTTTCAGCAGCACGACATGCTTGTTGCATAAGCTCATAAATGATTCGCGCTGCACATGCCCAAGTGGGCGGCGGGAGGGAGGAATGGTCAGATTGGAAAGGTGTCTGACTTTCCCCGTTCTGACACGTGTACTGAGTCGTCGGATTCCTCAGTCCAGAAGCTCGCCATTGTGTGAAAGCTAGGTTTACGTAGAGGGATATTCCAATGCATCGCCCCGCAGAAACAATATATTTTGAGTTGAAGGGGGAGACGAAGTTCCTGACCTGACCCAACCAGAGCTGACGAAGCGAAAAGGCTTGGTGTGGACTTGTCAGTGACGACTTCGCGAACGTGAGCTGGCAAACGTGGTAATAACAGTGATGGTTTCGCGAGATTTCACTAACCACCTCCGCACAGAACAACTCGTCATAAGTTGACTCCCAGCTTTACTCTCTTTAATAAAAAACTATTAGCTTGTCTGACTGAAATGCTCAACAATACGCTAATCTATTATTATTATCACCGCACTGATATTTTTTTCCCGTACACCATGCTTCGCAATGTGCTGAAATCAGGGCAAGGATGGGATACATCGGTTTTTTTTTTTTTTTTTTTTTAGTAATTTTTCCCCTCTTCTGCTTCAGCTCATATCACAAGTTCAAACGTACTGTGTAAAGTTATGGCACTCCCAGGTCAACTACAGGACATGCCACTTGGCTTCCATATAGCATGTGGTGCTAGACCCAAGTGTGCGTGGGCACAGCGTGGTGTGGTACGACATGGTGCAGTGCGATGTGACAACTGCATTGTTGGTGCTATTGAATCACCAGTTCCTTCTAGCTGTTAAAAAAAAACGACTGCCTTGGAATCAAGAGAAGGTGAGGTTGGGAAGAGGAAAGGGCATGGTGTTGCCAACAGTGGTGGAGTTGATGTCAGCATTGGCGATGACCTCTTATGCATAGCTACTAGCACAATAAAATATCAACATGGGCCCTGTGCTGCCATTGTTGCATGAAGAGAAATTCAGGTTGGTAGGAGGTAGGGGAATGGAGCTGCCGAATGTGGTGGATTGATATCAGCATTGACAATGGCCTCATGCACTTCCAGCCACATATGCCCTTTCCTCCCATGGGGGGGACACAGGTGTTGCGTGGAAGCAAAGGGGAAGGCTTGATGTTAGATACATGTTTGAGATGTCCCAGAACCGAGTTGACACCTGCACTAGAGATGGCCTCATGCACCGTTTCCAGCCCGCCACAGATGCGGCTGCAGAGGGGTTGGGTAAGGGCGAGAGAAGGCATTGAAGGGGGGGAAGGGGAAGGTGTGGCGCTACTGCTGAACCGCAATGCAGATGACCGGGAGGAACTAAGGCATAGTTGCATGCCATGTAACTTTCCAAACTCACCACTCCCCCTTGCTTTCTTCCTCCCCTCTTGGGATGACTGTTCAAGCACCCTACAGAAGGTGCTAGAGTGTCTGGGAAGGGACAGAGTGGGCCGCACGCAGTTGACGGAGAAGACAGAGAAGGAGCTCGGATCTGTCAGGCACTGCCACAACCGCTTGCTGCCTGTTCTTCCCAACAAGTCCATGTTAAGGTTGGGTCCGCTATTGTATGCTATTGTGTGGCATTGGGTGGGGTGGGGAAAGGGGTGGGGATGCAGAGAATGCTGACCATTTCATGGAGCTCATGGTTGTCAGACATTGGCAGGACGACTCGACCCCTCTTCTACTAATCGATTCCATGGTATGCTAGGGTGGGGTGGGGTGGGTTGGGGTGGTACGGTAGGGTGGCATGGGGGGTGGGGGTAGTGTGGTGGGGTGGAGAGAAATCTGCATCCCTGTATCTGCTCCTGCCCTTCCTTTATAAACCTGCCTCCCATTCCTTTACTTCGCACCCCTTACCACCAACAGGCCTGCCCCGAGGCATCGACGGAAGTGCTAGAAACAGGGCTGAGGGTGGCGTTAAGGGGGGAGAGTCTGCTATAGTCTGTGCTGCGTGTTCTTGTACCTGCTCCCTCACAACCTCCACTCATACTCGCCTCTTTTTTGTACCCTTCACCATTAGCTGGTTCGCCCCAAGGCTTTGAAGGAGGCGATAGAAGCAGTGTTGAGGGGGACGGGGAGAGTCTTGGAGTCTGTGCTGCGTGTCCCTGTACCCGCTCCCCCACAACCCCCATCTATACCACCCTTCCCCCTCTTTCACCATTCTTCCCACCCAGGTTCGCCTTAAGGCTTTTATGGAAGTGCTAGAAGTGTCTCAGGGAGGAATGACAGAGGGGGGAAGTGAGCCCACTGCAGTTTGTGCTGTGTGTCTCCATACCTGCTCTATAACCTCCATCCAAACCACCCATCCCCTCTCTCTCCCCTCTCTTTCACCTAGGCTCAATGTAAGGCTATGATGGAAGGATTACAATTGGAAATGAGGGGAAAACCAGGAGGGACTAGAGCTTGCTGAAGTCTGTGTTGCGGTCCCCATACTTGCTCCCCCACAACCCCCATCCGCACCACCCACCCCTCTCTCTCCCCTCCCTTTCACCTAGTTTCGCCCCAAGTCTCTGATGGAAGCACTGGAATCAGCACTGAGGGGAACGCCAGCCTTCTGCAGTCAGTGCTGCATGTCCTCATATGTCGCGCGGACTACAGGGCAGGGCGGCGCGCGGGCAGCAGGGCAGGGCTTCTAGGGCAGTACGTACAGTTGCTGGGCCCTAACGGAGCGGTCCTACGGAGGGAATTGCTCTGATACCATGTCACAAACAAAACGTAGGAATGATTCACTAGTAGGCAAGCATGAGTACAAGTACTAGGAATGACCGACTGTGTTTTACTCCTTATATTATGCCCCACTACATCCTAGAGAGAACAAATGCAATTTGACATCATACCCACTCGTCACAACCCCATCCGCACCACCCATCCCCCTTCTCTCCCGTTCCTTTCACTCAGGTTCACCCCAAGGCTTTAATGGAGGAGCTAGAAGTGGCACCGAGAGCGACCCCATGGGGAGAGAGTCTGCTGAAGTCTGTGTTGCGTGTCCTCATACCCACTCTCCGACAACCCCCATCCACACCACCCATCCCCCCAATCTCCCCTCTTGTTTACCCAAGTTCGGCCCTAGGCTCTAATGGAGGCGCTAGAAGCAGCGCTGAGGACGACCCTAGGGGAGGAGAGTCTCGTGCAGTCCCTGCTCCCGCTCCTTCCTCGTAGAAGTTTAGTGGGAAGATGCTTTGCCTGAGGACAAAGCTGTGAGTTTTGAACTATCTTCAAAATAAGTGGGCGCCGCTGGCAGATGGGGGCAAGCCTAGTGGAGCAAAGCTTAGCAGGAGGGTACTATTCGCGGAGGACAATGCATTTGAACTGCCCTCCAAACGGGAGGGTGTTGGTAGGTGGGGGCAAGCCCAGCAGATCAAAGCTTAGTGTGAGGATACAGTTGGCAGAGGACAATGTGGTGAGTTCTTCCAAACGGGAGGGCGTTGGTAGGTGGGGGCAAGCCAGCAGACCGAAGCTTAGTGGGAGGATACTTTTGGCAGAGAGGAATGCGACGAATTTTGAAATGTTTCCCAAATGGGAGGGTGTTGATAAGTGGGGGCAAGCCCAAAAGATCGAAGCGTTGTAAGAGGATGCTGTTGGCGGAGGACAATGTGGTGAGTTTTGAATTGTCTTCCCAATGGAAGGGCGTTGGCAGGTAGGGGCAAGCCTAATGGACCGAAGCTTATTGAGATAAAGATGTTGGCAGAGGACAATGCGTGAGTTTTAAACTCTTTTCCAAATGGGCGGGTGCTGGCAGGTGGGGCCAAGCCCAGCGGTCCAAAGCTTAGTGGGAGGAAACTGTTGGCAAAGGACAATGAGATGAGTTTTAAAGATTATCTTTCTTCTTATGAGAGGGTGCTAGCAGGTGGGGGCAAGCGCAACGTACCGAAGCTTAGCTGCTGGATTCTGCTGGCGGAAGACAATGCGGTGAGTCAACATTCTTGGGTTGATTCAAAAGTATGCTGGCGTCGATGAGCAAAGAGTCATGAGTGTCGCTGAGAACATTGGTGAGCCGTCTTGCTCATACTTCAGTCTGGAAGTTGTTGGTAGAGCCCCACCATGGGCCACGTGCTGGGAGATCTGCTCGGGATGAAGGAGGAGGTGTTTGGGGAAGCAGAGATGTATAGATATGCATACCGCATTGACGAGGAGATTGGCAGCTTGGCACCTTACACGGCGAACTTTGATCCCTAGCTAGCTCGTATGGAACCGATAAGAATGTAGAGTCTTTCATCTAGTGATGCATGATTGGCTCAACGCTGTGTGGCTGGCTGAGGCGCACAGAGGTGAACGGAGAGATTGGCAGCTCAGCGGCTTGCATGGTGGGATTTGATGCTCAGCTGGCGTGCGTCGAGCAAAGGGGATCTCAGAGTATTTCATTTGGTAATGCATGCTCGGAAATCTCGCACCTAGTAGGCACGAGCGCTGCGTCCTTTGGTGCTCAGTTGGCTCGTGTAGAGAAGATGGGCATGAGGGAGGAGGTGCTACACAGGGTGTGACGCATAGAGCTGCATGCCGCTTTGACGTGGAGGTTGGGAGTTCAGTGGCTCACACGGTAGACTTTGATGCCCAGCTGGCTCGTGTGGAGCAGATGGGCACGGAGAGCCGACCATCTACCGATGCAGGACTTGTTGTAGGAGCGAGCGTTGCACCCTTTGGTGTTAGTTAGGCTCGTATGGAGCAGATAGGCATGCAGATGGTTCACCTGCTGGTGCATGATTTGTTGTAGGTGCACGCGTTGCTGCTGTGCATTTGATGATTTCTGAGACGTGGGCTGCATTTCCGTTGGACGTTCCCTCCACTCCATGTTGTGTTCCCTCTGCGAGTTGTTTTTCACATGTGTAGAAAGTGTAAGTAATTTCGTTTCATTTTAAAATAGGTGTAGCATCAAGCCACTGGATAGGATTCAAGCTTATCATGGGTTATCAGCGTGTGCTGGACTCAAGAGAGTATTTGAGCCCGCAAACAATAGTATGTACCATATGTAGGAATTCGATCGCAGAGACATGGTAATTTGTACACATTCACACACATTCTTTTGACAGATGTCTTTGTGGAAAGGTAACAGAAAACTATTTGTCAATCATATTTCTATTCTTCTGCTTGACTTGAGATCTTTTGTGCAATCTCAGCAAAAACGCGTCCCCGATGCTCGAAGTTGTCAAACTCGTCAAAGCTGGCACATGCTGGGCTGAGAAGGATCGTGTCACCTGGAGGAGTGATGTGAGCACATGATGGGGTGTGGAAATGTGGGAGGAGGTGAAACTTGGTGGCAAGGGACGAGAGAGAGGCAAGGAAGAGGAGACAAAGTATGAAGTTCACTATAAGGAGCAGAGACTTAGCCCCCATGCCTCGCCTGCTACATTGATACGAATTGACTACTAATGGGGATGGAGATATCAGCTGGGCCTTGGAACTTGGCACTCAGCAGCAGGGGTAGTGGTGTGTGCAGCAGGATGCTTGGCTTGCTTGCTGCATACTGTGGTGCGGTGCGGTGACTGGAATACCCGAGTGCATATTGTGGTGTTCAAGTGATTGAAGAAGGGTTTTGAGACGTCTCAAAACCCTTCTTCAATCACCTTGCTGCATACTGTGGTACGGTGACTGGAATACCCGAGTGCATATTGTGGTGTTCAAAGAGTGGATTGGGCAGAGATACCCCAGACTGTGGGCTCTATGAGCTGCTGTGAGCTGCTGTGAGCTGCTGTGAGCTGCTGTGAGCAGAGACAAGGCTCACCAGGAAGAGCTGTGTCCGCACCGCAGCAGCACACATGGCTTGCTGCAATGTGGTGCACTGAATGAGAGCGAGTGTGAGACACAGACACCTCTGTCTGTACGCAAGTCGACTCCAACATCACCACAACACTCACCAGGGAGAGCAGTCTCCGCAGCAGTAGACGCATTACTTGCTGCATCATGGTGCAGCGGCTGAGCTGAGAGAGGAAGCGAGATCCGACATCGACTCAGCAACAGTGACAAATACTCACCCCCAGTTTGAAGACGTCTCAAACCGTATTTTGAGAGAGAGAGAAAAATAAAAATAAAAAAAACAGAAGCGAGACCCAACACCGACTCAGCAACAATGACAAGCACTGAACCCCAGTTTCAAGACGTCTCAAAACCCAAGAGACCCAAGGCAGCTACCGCAAGACTCACCCGGGAGGCCTGTCTCGGCAGCAGCATGCATGGCTTGCTCCATTGTGGTGCACGGAATGAGAGCGACTGAGAGACCCGAGGCTGTGAGCTCACTTGCAATAGACGGGCCTGATTGGCCAAACTGATGGGAGGGAGGGCGAAGAGGATGGGGTGGGGAGAGGCAGAAGCGAGGATGGGGGGGGAAGAGGCAGAAGCGAGGATGCGGGGAGGGAGAACAGGGTGGGGCAGTGAATAGGTGGATGGTGAGGTTTGAGGTTGTGAGCTCACTCGCAATGGGCGGACCTCATTGGTTGAGCTGATGGGAGGGAGGGTGAAGGGGATGAATTGATGGGTGGAGAGACCGAGGCTGTGACCTAGCTGCGAATGAATGCTGCGACTGAGGGAACTAGCACCCCACTGTAATCACCCCCCACGAGTATCTAAACTCGTTTATGAGTCGACTAAAAAACAATCCTAGCTGGGAATGAATGGAGGGGGAATAGCCCCCCACTGTAATCAACCCCCACGAGTATCTTGACTCGACTAAAACATACCTAGCTGGGAGTAGCAGGGGAGGGGGAACAAACACCTCTGCAATCAACCACCACCAAACTGCTATTGCCACTGCCCTCTAATTAGCGTTGTCTCACTAGCTCTCACTTATGCCGTCCCTTTAGCGTCAATTCAATAATGTCCTCCCATTACTGTCATGTCATCTACATAATAACATTCCAATCACAATCCCCCGCATCCCGGCGATTGTGACGGCAGTGCATGAGCGATTGAGCACAGCGGGATGAGCTTGGGGAAATCAAGCAGGAGAGGGGCTGGAGAGGAGCGGCGATACACTTGTTATAATCACAAATATCACACGCTCAGAGTGATCATGGCTCAATCCTGGATGCACACTGGAACTAACTTGCACAAGGCCAGTGGGGGGAGGGGGCTTAGCCGAGAAGGATCAGCCCTGAAAAAATCTCAGAGCTATACTCGCTACAGTCACCAACACCACACACTCACAGTGATGACAGCTCGATGGCGGTTGAGCAGTGGAACGAGCTTGGAGAAGCCCAGAGCAGAGGAAGGAACAACCTTGGTATGTCTCACATTACACTCGCTCACGATAATCCCAACACCACACACTCACAGTGATCACGGCTCGATGGCGGTTGAGCACGGGGACGAGCTTGGAGAAGCCCAGAGGGGAGGCGTCAGAAGCTCCTCCTGTGTCTGCTTCTGCGAGGGACTTCAAGACCTGAGAGCAGAAGATGACAGCAACAAAAACAAGTCCCGAGACCAAAACAACGCATAAGACGTACACACCACCACCCCCACCATCACGCACCACCAACGAGTGCCTACAATGAAAGAGGAGCACAAGTGCCTACCATCACCATGTTTTGAGTCGACTCAAAACTAGACCCACCACCAACGAGTGCCTACAATGAAAGAGGCGCAAAAGTGCCTACCATCACCATGTTTTGAGTCGACTCAAAACTAGACCCACCACCAACGAGTGCCTACAATGGAAGAGGCGCAAAAGTGCCTACCATCACCATGTTTTGAGTCGACTCAAAACTAGACCCACCACCAACGAGTGCCTACAATGAAAGAGGAGCACAAGTGCCTACCATCACCATGTTTTGAGTCGACTCAAAACTAGACCCACCACCAACGAGTGCCTACAATGGAAGAGGAGCACAAGTGCCTACCATCACCATGTTTTGAGTCGACTCAAAACTAGACCCACCACCAACGAGTGCCTAAAATGAAAGAGGCGCAAAAGTGCCTACCATCACCATGTTTTGAGTCGACTCAAAACTAGACCCACCACCAACGAGTGCCTACAATGAAAGAGGCGCAAAAGTGCCTACCATCACCATGTTTTGAGTCGACTCAAAACTAGACCCACCACCAACGAGTGCCTACAATGAAAGAGGAGCACAAGTGCCTACCATCACCATGTTTTGAGTCGACTCAAAACTAGACCCACCACCAACGAGTGCCTACAATGGAAGAGGCGCAAAAGTGCCTACCATCACCATGTTTTGAGTCGACTCAAAACTAGACCCACCACCAACGAGTGCCTACAATGGAAGAGGCGCAAAAGTGCCTACCATCACCATGTTTTGAGTCGACTCAAAACTAGACCCACCACCAACGAGTGCCTACAATGAAAGAGGCGCAAAAGTGCCTACCATCACCATGTTTTGAGTCGACTCAAAACTAGACCCACCACCAACGAGTGCCTACAATGAAAGAGGCGCAAAAGTGCCTACCATCACCATGTTTTGAGTCGACTCAAAACTAGACCCACCACCAACGAGTGCCTACAATGAAAGAGGAGCACAAGTGCCTACCATCACCATGTTTTGAGTCGACTCAAAACTAGACCCACCACCAACGAGTGCCTACAATGAAAGAGGCGCAAAAGTGCCTACCATCACCATGTTTTGAGTCGACTCAAAACTAGACCCACCACCAACGAGTGCCTACAATGGAAGAGGCGCAAAAGTGCCTACCATCACCATGTTTTGAGTCGACTCAAAACTAGACCCACCACCAACGAGTGCCTACAATGAAAGAGGAGCACAAGTGCCTACCATCACCATGTTTTGAGTCGACTCAAAACTAGACCCACCACCAACGAGTGCCTACAATGGAAGAGGAGCACAAGTGCCTACCATCACCATGTTTTGAGTCGACTCAAAACTAGACCCACCACCAACGAGTGCCTACAATGAAAGAGGCGCAAAAGTGCCTACCATCACCATGTTTTGAGTCGACTCAAAACTAGACCCACCACCAACGAGTGCCTACAATGAAAGAGGCGCAAAAGTGCCTACCATCACCATGTTTTGAGTCGACTCAAAACTAGACCCACCACCAACGAGTGCCTACAATGAAAGAGGAGCACAAGTGCCTACCATCACCATGTTTTGAGTCGACTCAAAACTAGACCCACCACCAACGAGTGCCTACAATGAAAGAGGCGCAAAAGTGCCTACCATCACCATGTTTTGAGTCGACTCAAAACTAGACTCACCACCAACGAGTGCCTACAATGGAAGAGGCGCAAAAGTGCCTACCATCACCATGTTTTGAGTCGACTCAAAACTAGACCCACCACCAACGAGTGCCTACAATGAAAGAGGAGCACAAGTGCCTACCATCACCATGTTTTGAGTCGACTCAAAACTAGACCCACCACCAACGAGTGCCTACAATGGAAGAGGAGCACAAGTGCCTACCATCACCATGTTTTGAGTCGACTCAAAACTAGACCCACCACCAACGAGTGCCTACAATGAAAGAGGCGCAAAAGTGCCTACCATCACCATGTTTTGAGTCGACTCAAAACTAGACCCACCACCAACGAGTGCCTACAATGAAAGAGGAGCACAAGTGCCTACCATCACCATGTTTTGAGTCGACTCAAAACTAGACCCACCACCAACGAGTGCCTACAATGGAAGAGGCGCAAAAGTGCCTACCATCACCATGTTTTGAGTCGACTCAAAACTAGACCCACCACCAACGAGTGCCTACAATGAAAGAGGCGCAAAAGTGCCTACCATCACCATGTTTTGAGTCGACTCAAAACTAGACCCACCACCAACGAGTGCCTACAATGAAAGAGGAGCACAAGTGCCTACCATCACCATGTTTTGAGTCGACTCAAAACTAGACCCACCACCAACGAGTGCCTACAATGAAAGAGGCGCAAAAGTGCCTACCATCACCATGTTTTGAGTCGACTCAAAACTAGACTCACCACCAACGAGTGCCTACAATGGAAGAGGCGCAAAAGTGCCTACCATCACCATGTTTTGAGTCGACTCAAAACTAGACCCACCACCAACGAGTGCCTACAATGAAAGAGGAGCACAAGTGCCTACCATCACCATGTTTTGAGTCGACTCAAAACTAGACCCACCACCAACGAGTGCCTACAATGGAAGAGGAGCACAAGTGCCTACCATCACCATGTTTTGAGTCGACTCAAAACTAGACCCACCACCAACGAGTGCCTACAATGAAAGAGGCGCAAAAGTGCCTACCATCACCATGTTTTGAGTCGACTCAAAACTAGACCCACCACCAACGAGTGCCTACAATGAAAGAGGCGCAAAAGTGCCTACCATCACCATGTTTTGAGTCGACTCAAAACTAGACCCACCACCAACGAGTGCCTACAATGAAAGAGGCGCAAAAGTGCCTACCATCACCATGTTTTGAGTCGACTCAAAACTAGACCCACCACCAACGAGTGCCTACAATGAAAGAGGAGCACAAGTGCCTACCATCACCATGTTTTGAGTCGACTCAAAACTAGACCCACCACCAACGAGTGCCTACAATGAAAGAGGCGCAAAAGCGCCTACCATCACCATGTTTTGAGTCGACTCAAAACTAGACTCACCACCAACGAGTGCCTACAATGGAAGAGGCGCAAAAGTGCCTACCATCACCATGTTTTGAGTCGACTCAAAACTAGACCCACCACCAACGAGTGCCTACAATGAAAGAGGAGCACAAGTGCCTACCATCACCATGTTTTGAGTCGACTCAAAACTAGACCCACCACCAACGAGTGCCTACAATGGAAGAGGAGCACAAGTGCCTACCATCACCATGTTTTGAGTCGACTCAAAACTAGACCCACCACCAACGAGTGCCTACAATGAAAGAGGCGCAAAAGTGCCTACCATCACCATGTTTTGAGTCGACTCAAAACTAGACCCACCACCAACGAGTGCCTACAATGAAAGAGGAGCACAAGTGCCTACCATCACCATGTTTTGAGTCGACTCAAAACTAGACCCACCACCAACGAGTGCCTACAATGGAAGAGGCGCAAAAGTGCCTACCATCACCATGTTTTGAGTCGACTCAAAACTAGACCCACCACCAACGAGTGCCTACAATGGAAGAGGCGCAAAAGTGCCTACCATCACCATGTTTTGAGTCGACTCAAAACTAGACCCACCACCAACGAGTGCCTACAATGAAAGAGGAGCACAAGTGCCTACCATCACCATGTTTTGAGTCGACTCAAAACTAGACCCACCACCAACGAGTGCCTACAATGAAAGAGGCGCAAAAGTGCCTACCATCACCATGTTTTGAGTCGACTCAAAACTAGACCCACCACCAACGAGTGCCTACAATGAAAGAGGCGCAAAAGTGCCTACCATCACCATGTTTTGAGTCGACTCAAAACTAGACCCACCACCAACGAGTGCCTACAATGAAAGAGGAGCACAAGTGCCTACCATCACCATGTTTTGAGTCGACTCAAAACTAGACCCACCACCAACGAGTGCCTACAATGGAAGAGGAGCACAAGTGCCTACCATCACCATGTTTTGAGTCGACTCAAAACTAGACCCACCACCAACGAGTGCCTACAATGAAAGAGGCGCAAAAGTGCCTACCATCACCATGTTTTGAGTCGACTCAAAACTAGACCCACCACCAACGAGTGCCTACAATGAAAGAGGCGCAAAAGTGCCTACCATCACCATGTTTTGAGTCGACTCAAAACTAGACCCACCACCAACGAGTGCCTACAATGAAAGAGGAGCACAAGTGCCTACCATCACCATGTTTTGAGTCGACTCAAAACTAGACCCACCACCAACGAGTGCCTACAATGAAAGAGGCGCAAAAGTGCCTACCATCACCATGTTTTGAGTCGACTCAAAACTAGACCCACCACCAACGAGTGCCTACAATGAAAGAGGCGCAAAAGTGCCTACCATCACCATGTTTTGAGTCGACTCAAAACTAGACCCACCACCAACGAGTGCCTACAATGAAAGAGGCGCAAAAGTGCCTACCATCACCATGTTTTGAGTCGACTCAAAACTAGACCCACCACCAACGAGTGCCTACAATGAAAGAGGAGCACAAGTGCCTACCATCACCATGTTTTGAGTCGACTCAAAACTAGACCCACCACCAACGAGTGCCTACAATGAAAGAGGCGCAAAAGTGCCTACCATCACCATGTTTTGAGTCGACTCAAAACTAGACCCACCACCAACGAGTGCCTACAATGAAAGAGGCGCAAAAGTGCCTACCATCACCATGTTTTGAGTCGACTCAAAACTAGACCCACCACCAACGAGTGCCTACAATGAAAGAGGAGCACAAGTGCCTACCATCACCATGTTTTGAGTCGACTCAAAACTAGACCCACCACCAACGAGTGCCTACAATGAAAGAGGCGCAAAAGTGCCTACCATCACCATGTTTTGAGTCGACTCAAAACTAGACCCACCACCAACGAGTGCCTACAATGAAAGAGGAGCACAAGTGCCTACCATCACCATGTTTTGAGTCGACTCAAAACTAGACCCACCACCAACGAGTGCCTACAATGAAAGAGGCG